AAACTGCTGTGAGTTTGCTTTCCTTTGCCTACAAACTTGATGAGCATTTTTGTAATTCCTCAGATTTTTGATATTTATAAAAGTTTCAGCCATTTATAATGAAATCATGATGAAAACTACCTTTTAACTTCGTAAATTCTCCTATACTTCTATTATTTTTACCACAGCTGTGTATACATAATATGTGTAAGCAAACGAATCGAGTGGTCGGGGTTGGACATTACTCATACGCAGCGTGTGTCGGTAGCAAAAAGCAACTTAAATTCTACTTACAGCCAAATATGTAATAAATACGAGCTTAAAAAAGTTTATCTATATTTCAACCGCACGCAGTCATGTGCTTACACACACACCCATATATTTTTCGGCCGTCGGTGGGTTTTTGTACATAAGAACTCGATGCTGTTTTTTTGCTGTCGCACTGGGAAAATTTTTTGAAAGATGTCCCACCCCCGGGAACTTCCCAACATCGCACACGTCCAGCTCGGGAAAAGTTTACTTTTTCTATACCCACTCCCTCCCACTACTACAACAATATCTGCTGGGGCTTTTTTCGCTGTGGCACAAACGAAAAATAAGTAAGTGCCGATTGCTGGGGACAGACTATCATTAGATGTATGACTATTCAGTTGCAGCTTTAAATCGCTGGAGTTGGTTTTTCATCTAACATTTTTGAAGCGTCGGCTTCTGCTGGGATTTTTCCTTTTTCGTTTCAATTTTACAGGCAGGCCACAGCCACCAAAAACCAAATCCTGACAAGCCCGACGCCGTATAAATTGTCGCAATCAAGCAGGCATACAAAAGCGGGAAACCCAAAAAGGGAAGAGCAGTAGAAGAGTTTGAATCGAAAAGGAGAAAAAAGTCAGACGGACGGAGAATTGAGAAAACCGCCGGCAAGATGAATTACTGCAAATTATCCAGTTAGAACTTCGGGGACTTTGAAACAAAACCAAAGGCGTGGATGGCCAGGATAAAGCGGTTCTGCAGACGGGCAAAAGAGGTTGGGAATTGCTGACGATTTAACGAGTGGCCGGGCAGAGCTTCATCCATCTGTTCCTGCATTCATATACGACTGGTCTAGGGTGTATATATAGATTGTGCATTCCCGGAATCAGACAAAGTATAGCATTCCCACGGATCGCTAACAAACACAATTGTTCGCAGAAACCGCAAAGTCTTTCGCTTCTTCACTTTAACTTCCGGGTGGAAAACCAACTCATAATGCATTTCTTGGTCTCATAAAGGAAATAATAAGCAGTAATACATAGTTGAGTTTTCCACAAAATCTATTTCCAAATACCACTGTTCTATGAATAATTCATAAGACTGAAATGTTAGCAATAGTTTTAAAAATAAAGAAATCGAGCCTTCTATAAATATTACTCCTTTCCATATCTGTAATAAATTGAAAATGAAGATTCTCCTCTATTAAAAGCAAATTTCAGCACAAATAATGAAGCAGGAAAAGTGACTGTGAGGTACTTTAACCTTTCCGGTTTCTAGCCCGCTTTTATTTTATTTTATTTTGATTTTTTTTCGGCTGGTCACTGCCTAATTCTTGGAGGGGCGGGAACTCAAATAAAAATCACCCGCAGCACTCTTTGTCGGCCACATTCATTAATGTCAACAGCAGTCGCCTCGTCTAGGACTCACTGTAAGCACATAATGTGCCACAAAACGCATAAAATACATACAGACAGACTCGTACATATACAGATGTCTGACACTGTAGTCATCGTCTGAATCTGAATTCTGTATTCTGTATTCTGTAGTCTGTAGTCAGTAGTCTGCCCGCTGTTTTATATAACGATTACGATAATGAAGCGTCGCCGTTTCCACTGAGCGCAGCATTTTTGTACACAAAATGAGCCAAATGAATGGCCCGGCTTTTGGGCGGTCCGATGGGTGAGTGGGTGTTGCCAAAGTGGGCGGCTGTGGCGGTACAGCATCAACGTCTGTCGTTGATGGCTTTTTGAAGTTCTCGGCACTGCCAGGCGGCGCAATGATTGGGGATTATGACGAATTAATGAATTCAGATTTAAATAAAATTACGCGCGCCTGCTTGTTAGTGGCACACACATTTATATACATTTGCGGCCAAGATAATAGCACATTTGGCTTTAATTAATTGTTTAAGTTTGACAATTATCTGAGGACCTTTAAGTAATCAGATGGTTGTCTGCCTTTCTTTTTGAAACATAAAACGTTAGAGAAGATATCCCTCAATATAAAACAAGAACATAAGCTATTTTCCCCACTCATAATATAGAGAAAGTTTAAAGATAATATTCCCTATTAATTATGCATTTTCCAGAATAATCCCATTTCGTAAATCCTATTATTCCTACGGCAAGTGTAAACAAAATTATATATCGAAAATCAACTCCCACTTTTTGTGGCTGCTCATTTAACGTTTGCTAATAGAATTAAAGTTTGCGGTTGTTCGATGAGAAATTGAAAACGAGGATTGAGAGTGAGGAAATCGGAAAATGGGTGGCATAATGAGCTGGCCACCGATCCAGGGGCAGTGTAATTATGACAGCTATCGGTGTGGCAAGGAGGGTGCGGCGTTTGCCCATTTGGCCATCGATGGGCGGACATTAACAACAGGCCGCAATTCGAGCGCAGTGTTCGCTTTTCCAGTTTTGCCCGCTTAATTAACAACAACAATTGCAATTGTACTGCTACGCCCACTTCGCATCCGTAGTCGTCCTGCGGCCCACCGCCCTCTTATCCTTGCAGCACCTGAGCTGGCAATTTTTGTGTCATTTGGCGCGTGTAACCTTCGCCGTTCGTTTGTATTGTGTTGCGGCATTGTTGTTGATTGTTAATTGAAAAACAATGTTGTAGTTGGTTTCATCGGCGGCTGCACTTGAAGAGCTGCGAATTGCGAGGCGCGAACAACAGCTACTATGCACTAAGAAAAATATTTGATATAATAACAATGGGATAGTCAATGGAAGAACATAATCCTATACCACTTCATATCTTACATTGTGATTTAAATTATATTGAAAAGAATCTCTCAAATCAAAAATATAGTTCATTATTTAGCCGTACAAATATCATGTAGCTTAGTGTATCGAACTTCATCTCTTAATGCAATAAATGAAATGCAATGAAGAACATTTTTTATGGAAGTTAATAAATCGAATTGGAAACCCAAGGGTGCGATGCAAAATCGCTCATCTTTTTTCCTGTGCAGCTACTGAAGCTGTAGAATTTTCCAGCGTTGGGCGGGGTGGGCGGAAAACTGCGGCGCAAGCTTAATTAATTTTTATAAGGCCGCCTTCGCTGGCATCGTGGCTGCATTTTAATTACAGTGCACAGGAGTTGCGAGTTGCCTTAAGCGCATTGATTAAGTTTAATCAATGGCCCATAAGCAGGCAGTCAGGCAGGAGGAGATTGGCCAAAATGGGTGGTGGCTTGAAGGGGAGGCAGGGGAAGGGCAGAGGGCAGTAGTCCGGGGTCAGCTTGCAGCTCATTAAAGGCCGCATCGCAACTTTGACAAGAAATGTGCAATTAGCAGTTGAGCGAGCGAGCAGCGGGCTGATGGCAAAGTTGTCACATTATAATATTGAATGGCAGACAAGACGGCCCTTGGGACACAGCCAAAGGATTCAAAGAAGCCAAAGAAAACGAGGTGCCACACCAAGACATCCGCTTTTCCAGTTGAATATAAGTGGGGATTCCTCTTAAAATCACTTTCAAGTTGTCATTTAAGTACTAGTTTAATTGCTCAATCATCTTTTACGGAATTTAAAGTTCAATAATCACACAAACAGAACTTAAAGCGTTGAAATTAATACGTTTATCGGATGATTGTGGAAATTGCCTAATGCCTTATTAACTGCATATATCTATCGAACTTATACAAACAAAAATCTATTGAGTTTGATGCCTTATGAATATTTTAGTCTACTAGAAACTACAAGATACGTTTGTTATCGCAGGACATATACATATGTTTGAATAATATATAATCGAATTTGTTATGTTAATAAGCTAACTGGGCTAACTCTGGCATTCGGGCAATCAAAGGACGCAAATGAATGTCAATTAAACCGTTTCAATAAGTACCTTAATTAAGGCCCAATAAAATATTATGAAAATAAATAAGTCATGCTATTGTCTGAATATCAAATTCATTTGATATCTGACATCTATCATTAATGCCTCAATTTAACAAGTGAACAATTCCCGTTGGCCAATGCAATTGAGCCTCAATCTGATTGTGATGGCCAATTTGGCAGCACATTCGTTGCATTCATTTGCTGCCTCAATTAAAATATCAAATGACAACCAGTCGGTGAGACAGTCAGTCATCGCAATCGTTCAGTCAGCCAGTTAGCCAGTCAGTTGGGCAGTTCATCATTCCCTCATGTCCAGTTAGCGGGTCTGTAATGAGCCAGTCAGCCAGTGGAAAGTCAGCGCAGTTAGTTAGTTAGTTAGTGCGCTGGTTTGACAGTCAACTATCATTATAAGTTCTTTTGCGCCATAATGGGTAAAAGTTTTGCGCCCTCTTCAAAGCGGTGGGTGTTCCAAGGGGTGTATTGTAGGGTGGCTGGTTAGGTCACTACTCTACTCAGTGTGTGTGTGTGTGTGTGCGTTGGCCATTGTGCGCACTCACTTTGCAATTAGCAGCAGTTTTGTCTGCTGCGAACATTTATTCAGGCCATTAATTGAGTTGCTCGCACCGAGGAGGCAAACTTCGAATGCTTATGCACCAACTGAAACAAAGAAGCACAAGAACAAGCGCAGCCAAGTCGCGGGAAATGGGTTGGGAAATGAAAAATGGCCACTTCTTGCCGACGGAAAAGTGCGAGGAGCCATTTGAAGTCTTTTAAAAAATACTTGATTTTTCCTAGCATATCAATGGAAGGTTCTTGATTTCTTATAGCACTTTTGTTTCATTAAAGATCATCTCTGAAGTGCAAATAATATTATTATTATTAACTAGCTTACTAATTAACCCCTCTTCTCTTTTGGACTACTTACAGATCGAGGATGCCATGTTGATGTTTGATAAGCAGACCAATCGGCACAGAGGTGAGTTATCCTTATCGTTATCATCAGCCATCGCTGATGGTGCGCAACAATGCCACAAAACATTTGCTAGCCCCGTTTCCGGATTTTAACGAGCCGGAAGTGCGAGAGCTTAGCAAATGCACACACTCAGACACTCTTACACAATATCAATGTATCATGCATGGCAGGATGCTCATAAGCAACGGGCTAATACAGTTTTAAAACGTTGTCGGGGCATTAAAATGGCCGGGCAACAGGATGTAGAAGGACCCGAAAAGATTACCTGCCAATGCAACCGGATATAAGGGCCATAAGAGACGGTCCATCCTCTTACGCTGCTGCCTGGTTGATAGTGGGTGGAAAGTAGGCAGTGGGCAGTGGGCCGTGGGCCATGGGCGGTTCATAGGTGGCAAGTTGGGCTGTGTGCTGTGGACGGTGCAGGCCAGCGAGGTCAGCAGCTGAGGTGCGCTGGCCGGCAGAAGGCTTAAATCTCCAGTGTACATCCGCTACACGAACTTGTAGCGCACGACTGCGTCCATTGCGTTTGTCCAGCTGTCCGTCCGGTATCCAGACCGGCTGTCAGAATGTCCGGCTTGCTCTGCACTGTCAGAAAAGTCCACTGATATCTCAAAGTAATCTTCTGAAAGTTAACCACCCACAAACCACTAACAGGATTTCCTTAACTTAATAAATATGAATTAAAATGTATTATTTAACATTATTTACTTAAACAAAAAGATTTAATTCTTATTAATCTTTCAGTTTAAAAACCTTTAATATCCGCTTTTAAGAGTTCTTTCTTATTTAATGAAAAAATCCCAAGAATTCTGCAGACTATGAAGGAATTGGAATTTTCATTTAAGCGGATTCAGTAATAAGGAGGCGTGGGAGGTTATTTTAAAGGGTATTAATTCATTAAATATTTCATATTGGTTCGATTCCATTACCAAAGTATTTATTTTTGGGTTTTATTTGGGCAATAATATGACACTGGGAGTATTTTAATAAATAAACTCAAATTTAAACCCGAATTAATTCTTTAAATAATTAATACTTAAACCAACCTTAAATATTTCGGCATTTTTTCTGTGGCTTTTCCCCAGTGCTTGTCCATTTCGGGTCCTTTCGGTGTGTGTTCTCCCGAAGCCTTGTCGTTGTCAATTTTGCTTATTAAAGTTTTAAATGACGCCCCGAATTTCGCAATGCGACCGGGTCTCGAGTCCCATTGACATGTCCCTCTGGCAGGAGAGAGGTCCTATCGGGGATCGGACTACAACCTGAGACACGGAGCATTAAGATTGATGTGCCCAATTTTGCACAAACCAAAAACACACACTGTGTACCCACACATCCGCAGAGGTCCTTGCCGCTGCTCAAAAGTAATTAGCTCACACGGATAGCAAGCAGCCGCATGCATCAATAGTTGTTGGTGCACAATCATTCCGGCACTTGCCCACTGCCACCCGCTTACTCCCCTTACCAACGGACATTGTTAACTTTTGCGCCCTTCAAATTACGCACACGGGAATAAGAAAACATGATTTTTGCTTGTGCGCGGCCCATAAAAAATTGTAGCATACTTCTGTGCGCCGCATCGCAGATAAGCGCAAAAAAAGTGTGGGGTGGGCGAGGAAAATGTTGAAATGGGTGGTGTGGAAAGGCTGCAGAGATAGAGCCGTGGGCCCACAGAACATTTCGCTTAATTGGACGCTGGAGTACGCTGAAACTGCACGATGATGCAGTCATACATACATAAAAAAACCGAAGGTATGAAAGTGGACAGGCGGCCAATAAAAACAAATATGAGGCATTTTAAAAATAATGCGAAGGATGCGCCCAGTCATCGCATCAAAGATTTAGGCACACGACTAACAAAGCTGCGATAATCAGCAATCACAATTTTTTTTTTAAATTTTAAAGCTAACCTTTTCCGTGAATTTGGATTTTGAAATTAAATTACATTTAAAGTATTAATAAAAAGCTAGGAACTCGACCTATTTATTGATAAAATTTAGATGCTTAATTATATTTTATAGGTACCTCAAACTCAAACCATTCAACCGCCTAACCATAATGACCCTGGGAAACGACTTAAAGAAATTTCCACGAATTACCTCCATTGGCGACTTTGTGATTTTGTGATTTGCCAATTTTGCAATTAAAAATGCATTGGCCGAGCAGTTTAGCCGGTGACACGACTCATTGGCTGAGCAATTCATTTTGGCCGGGACATGTCAGGCTTGCAAATTACAATTGCGTGCATCGATCGATCGCCGGATGAAATATGCAGGCGTTTCTTGTTGTTGCTACTGCTGGCGAGCGGTAAAAGCCAACTGCCCAACTTCACAGGCGACCAGCGGCCAATAGTCAATAGAAAATGTGTGTCGTTAATCAAAGGGTATTAGTTGTAGCAGGAGCCTTCATTGCCACGGGTCAGGAGGATGAGGAGGAGCGGGTGCAGGAGTACCAGGCAGGACGAGGACATCGATGGCGACTTTTTGTACAGTCGGACGATGTACGATGTACGACCTTATTGCCATGAGGAGTCGGAGTCCGTTGCCTACTGGCACTTGCGATATGCCTGTAATTGCATTTTATCGATCCGATCCGAAAGCCCCCTATATATATATTTCTCTGTGTGTGTGTGTGTGGCAATTGCCACGTACACATACTGACACACACACGGGAACTATAATAAAGAAGGGGCAACAGAAAAAAAATAAAAAAAAATAGGAAAAGAAAAGTGGGAAAGACGTCGTTGGTTGCTCCGGCTACACGGCAGCAAGTTTGTTACTCATTCATAAATCATGTGTGCAGCCCAGCGACACATACACAAACACTAAAACACACACGGACACACACAGTCACACCATTGGACGAGCGGACATATAGACAGATAGACAAATAGACAGACATTCTAACATGGTGGCACCGAACTCACCCAAACTGAAATTCAGTCGGAAAACAACCCATATATCCGTTAGCCTGGTCACTGAAAATTGCAGCGGCGTTTTCCAGTTTTTCCAGCTAACAAGAGCGGCGGCAGTTGGCCCAGAACTACAAGTACAACTACAACCGTTTCATATGGATAAAAAATAACAAGATATAGCAAGCGATATATGAATATGCCATAAAACAATATAGGCAGGCCCAAATAGCAATAACAACAAGGGGGATGACAACAGCGCGGAAGGGAGGGCCATTCCAACTACAGTGGAGATGCCCTAAAGGGGAACTCTATTTCAGCTCTATTTTAATACAGATATTTTATGAAGCACTTGTTGTAATCTTACTCACTATTTAAATCACCTTCTTTGACTTTCTTAAGGGATTTTCCTTGCAGCTCAAACAAAGTGAAAGCTCTTCAGAATAATAAAACTGTAATTTAGTATCTAGAGCAGGAATAATGAAATACTTTGTAAATTCGCAGGAATCACTACTAAGTGAGATAAACAAAGTCCTTATTAAAGTTCCCCTTAAGCAATCTTCGCTGTAAAAATACAGAGTTCAGAGCTGCCGAGCTGCGACCGAAACTATGCTATGAATTTCATTTGGCAAGCCAAGGACATGCCCAACGTGCGCCTAAGCAGCCAGTGGTGGGTGGTATATGGGTAGTTTTAGTCACTAGGTGGATGCGGGGAGTATATAGTATAGTGCAGAAGAGGATCGGGCAACTTTTGGGGGCCGGCTTGGCAGTTGGCGTCGCCAGCCGCCACTAATATTAAAATTGAAAATTTTGTAATTTTTCTTTTTGGCAAGCCGGCGCAGCGCAGTCATAACAGCAGCTGGCTTTTGGGTCCTGCCTTCCATCCCCTGTCGGGCACGGCCCCGCGACCACCTAGAGCATATATCTGTGTCCGCTTCTTGGCAATAACATGCATGAGTGTGCAATTTTTGCAGTTGCCAAGACCATCGTCAGCTCCTATCGCTCCAGTGCCGTCCTGCGGGAAATTTTCGACAGGTAAAAATGGCGGACGGGCTCAAAACTCAGACTCACCTCGGAGCCATGAGCCATAAGCCTCAAGCCACGGAATTAACTGGGCAACGAGCATTGGCTCATTCCTCATGCTACCCGGCCGCATTTGTATCCAGCAGATACATTTTTGATTGAGTTACGTGTGGAGCGTGGAGCACACCGAAAATAGCAGCCTTCATTTGTTCCACGGCTGATTTATGAAGTTGCAACGGAATAGATGCCTTCTGAGAAGCCCAGGGGACACAGAGAAAAATTGTGGTACTAATGTATGGTTTTAAAGAGGTCCTTTAAGCTGTGTATACCTTGAAAACCTTAGTTAGACCAACAAGTTAGATTACCTAAAAGTCACTACACCTTAAGGTAACCATTTTAATTCACCGTGTAGCTGACGTGCAACATTGCAACGTGCGCTAATTTCATATAATTAAAACAAATACAAACAAACTCCAGGACGCGAGGAAAGCAGCTAGCCCGCACGTTGTCTTAAGGAAAAGGACCTCGGAGCTTCTTCAGCTCGGCACATGTCGCTAATAAGCCTGCGTGTTTACTGTTACTTGTTTCAACTAATTTGTCAGTTACGCCCAGCTTGGCCACGCCCCTTAAGCTGCCCTTCTCGCCATCCGCCCAGCCGCCCGCACGACAAGGCAAACACACGTACACAAACAACATGCGGGCAACGGGGCATCAGGTGTCTGCACTTGGCCTTGCTAATTGCACAGAGAGAGAGAGCCCTTCTTTTTCGGCCATGTGAAATCTCAGACAATTGCGCTAATTGAAAAGCCCCGATAAGACCGTAGTGGTGAAATCGGAAGAGGAAGCAAATCGGGGTCGAGGGAACGAGGGGGTTGTGCTAAGAGGATAGCGAAAGCCTGAAAGGGAATTTTTAAGGAACACTATCTGATGGCAAGTTGCCTCTTACTTCGGCTACTCTCAAGGAGTAACTTGAGGGGGAGTTTTAAAAACGGAATGGCAAGTTCCAAAAAATAATAATTAAGTCATTGTGGCTACGTTACCCGTTTAAGAATTGGGTTCGCTAGTTAACTACTTCTCTAAGTAAGATATGGCAAGGATTGTTGCAGTTCAAGGCAATATAAAATCATTACGTTCCAGTTCGAAAGGAAATATAACAATATAGACCACTAACTATAAATAATTAGATAAAATAAATGTGCACTTCAGAAACTAAAGATGGCAAAACCATCGAGAAAGCTGAAAAAACTGCAAGCCCTATCATAGAACCAACTCCTAGAAAACCCTCCCTAGTCAAAAGAAAATCAAGCAACTTAAACTTTCGCCAGCACAAATTGCAGCGGCAACAAATGGAAGAAATTTAATTAAGCCATAATAAATCCTTTCTCAATTCGGGTAGTAAAAACCCCCCCAGAATGACTTGACATTCCAGGAATTTAAGTTCTTCGTCAGCCTCCAATTGGAAGATATCAAAAATAGCTCCACTGGCCAGCCATTAGGACAAAGTTATTATGCCCGATCCCAAGGCGGTCGTCGAGGGGTTAAGGCGAGTGCAGGGTGGCGGAGGGTTATGGAGGGCTAAGGGGGCGGAACTCTGAGCTGTGTCCGCTGGCCAAAGTTTATTATGTAAACTCGGAGCGGCCAGTGTTTGAATTACTCCCCCAGCCGCCACTTGAGGCCCTGCAGGGGATGCATATTGAGGTCAGCCGGAGGACAGCTATCCTACCCCGAAATGGTTGGAGGTTAAGAGAGGGGGTTTCAAAAGGGGGCTGACCACCGCCTCTGTCTCGGTCTCGACACTTGAGTAAATTATTTAGCCGCTCGCTCACACAAAAGCATATTTCGTTCAATTTTTGCAGCCCTTAAACTTTTTTGCCCACTCTCACTCACTCTTTTTGGCTCTTTTCTCTTGCAGGTTTTGGCTTCGTTACATTTCAAAGCGAAGATGTGGTAGACAAAGTTTGCGAAATTCATTTCCACGAGATAAACAACAAAATGGTAAGTGAAGCGTGGCGGTCTGAATCGCAGCCCAAGAGGCTTAGCCTCCACTCTCTGCTCTCCACTCTCAGCTCCCACTTTTAGTTTTTACTTTGGCCATACCGAGAAAAATACTGCCCTAAATCGGTCATCAATTCGGGATTTTATTATGACAAAATTGCTTACGTGTCACATTCTGTGGAAAATATTTAGGCAATATTGTTTGGGCGTAGTTAAAAGTTATAAAACAACAGTTTAGGTCTTTAAAATCAAGCAAGTTTCTAGCTAAGACATTTAAATTTGAAAATGGCTCCCGATTGCCGTGTGAATTCTTACTTTTCTTAACCTTAAATGCAGTTTAAGTACTCGCATTTTAAAAAATATGAAAACAAAGAGGTTAAACCTACGTTATTGACCTTATACTACTAATACTAGGGAATTATAAGGAAGTTCTGATATTGCTAATGCTACTAAAAAATTTATAAGATCTTTAATTTTTGGGGAAATTTGAGAAAGGCTTTGGCCATTCCTAAGTTTCCGTTCCTTAGCATTACCTTCCAAGAATGACAATACTTTCTTATATCCTTACAGGTCGAGTGCAAGAAGGCGCAGCCGAAGGAGGTGATGCTGCCGGCCAATCTGGCCAAGACGCGGGCTGCCGGGCGTTCCGCATACGGTGAGTTGGTAGTCTGGGGCAGCAGCCACGTCCATTCGACGGCGGCCACATCCGCCGCCGCCGCCGGCTTGCTGCCGAGTAGTTTAGCCGCTGCCGCATCTGTGCTGCAGCAGCAACAGCAGCAGCACCAACAGCAGCAGCAGCAGCAACAACAGCAGCAGCAGCAACAGCACCACCAGCCGCTGCATCACACACACCCACAGTCACCCGCCCACAGCCATGCCCACCACACGCACTCACACTCGCACAGCCAGTTGTTGGGCTCGCTGCGTTATACCCCTTATCCGTTGCCCGCTCACCTTTCGGCGGCAGCAGTTGTTGCCGCCCAGCAGCAGCACCACCAACAGCAACAACAACAGCAGCAGCAGCAACAACAACAGGTCGTGGCCGCCCAACAGCAACAACAACAGCAGAGCCTGGCCCAAGTGGTGGCCGCTGCAGCTGGTGCTGCACCTGGCTTGCTACCGCTGGCCAATCCCGCTCCGCCTGCCACGCCCTCTTTGCTGCAGTTTGCAGCCGGTCAGAGCAATGCCGCCCTTGCGAATTCTCTTTATGCAGATGCAGCCGCCGTTGTTGGCTATAAGCGTTTGTTGGCAGCAGCGGCGGTCAGCAGCGGTCTTCGTGCTCCGGCCACCGCCTTGGGCGCTCTGCAAGCAGCCGCTGCTAATGCTCCCGCTGCTGCCGCCGCCGCTCAGCTGCAGCAGGCGCAGTTGCGTCAGAATGCTGCCCTGGCCGCTGCCCACTATCCGCTCAGCGAACTGCTGGCCATGCAAGGCGGTATGGATATGGGTGCGGGCGCCACTTCTGCGGCGGCAGCAGCGGCTTCACTGTACCAGCTGCCTGGAATCTGACCGCCCAGGCCACAGTGAGCTGTTTAAATAAGGTTCCCGACAAAGGACACCTATTTTTCATGTATAAAGATATTTAAACTATAAAAATTCAAAAGCTCTTTCACTTTTTCCTTGATTTTTAAAGTCAAGTAGACAAATCTAAAGTCTGTAATTTAAATATATAAATCTGAAAAACATTTACGATTTTATTTAAGCACTTAAGGGGTTGAGTTTGTCTGTATGTAATCCCAGTAAATATATTTTTCTAAGCTTCTTACTCTTTTTCATCAGATTTAATGACATATTAGCAAATCAAAAGTTGGCTTTAGAAGGAATTTCATTTAAAAGGCAAGAGCATTAAAGTCTATTTGCGTAAAATTAACTAATATATTAACGTGAAAGGAAATGTTTTGCTAATGAATTTTTAATAGCATTTCTTTCAGTCACTTCAAAGCTTTAATTTAACTTTAAATTTAAATATTTCCATCCATATGACCATTCAAAACCCCTTAATTGTGCTTAAGGTTTCAGAGCTCTGTCAACATACTTCCACTATCTATTGATAGTTCAAACTGGAAACCCTTATCCTAAAAACAAACACCCACAGAACACACTCTACTACACCTATATATATGACTCTCATTCCGTCTCAATGTCCAAAAAATATGTTAAGCGGCTAGGCCTAGGATTACGTGTACTTCTACTTACAATTAGCCATGTACTTATCCCATATGTACTATATATATATATATATATCGTAACTTATATATTTTGTGACTGTCTAAGCTGCGTTTAGGCCACGCGGCGTATGCGTTATTTAACTCAAATTACTCAAATAGCGGCGCATTTGTTTTCTTTCTTTAGATCTTAAGCGAACTTGAATTACATAAGATATAACTAGGTTAAGTGCAGGTCCTAGAGAGCTGCTTAGATTTTTATCGAGGCCATCGATAAACTTAGACCTTAGACGGCGATCGTAATCGTAATCTTGTCTTAGACACCTGGCGACTTTCTACTAGAACTTAAGAATGTAACAAAAAAATAAGAAAAATGTTTCAAATTAAAAACAAATCAGCTCCATAGGAAACACTCATTTATGTTTTAAAACGGATTCTCTTGTATATCGAACATTTAACTAACTAACCTATACGTAAACTCATATCAATAGCTGCTTAAAGGCGTATTTAACCTAGAAACGCAGCCAAATGCGAATCGGATTCAAACCTAAAACCTAGCAAATGTATCGAATTAGCGATTAAGTTGGATTAAGTAAACCAGCCGAAGGAGGCCGAGCCGAGTATTAGAAATGCGATGTGTGTGTAACGAAGTTTAGTTTTTGAAAAATTGATGACCGAACTGGGCAGATGCCATCGTAGCGGCCGGACAGCTGTCGGAGTGTAATTTTCCGAAATGGATCATGGATAATGGATATGCAATGTCCAGTGTGCTGTGTGCAATGCATTCGGGCCAATTACAGGGCCCTGGCAAATTTCAGCTCCGACAGCTGATGGCCAACTCCCCCAGCTGCCCAGCTGCCCAGCTGCCCAGCTGCCTTTGGTCACCCAGTTCGAGTACTCCACATACAAACACATATTGTTTGCCCATAGCCATTAATATTTGACTAAACTCGAAACTAGCTATTTATTATACATGCATAAATAACCACATACACACATCTATTGCATTACGATAAGCGCATTAAGCGCTCAAACTCAAATTCAAATTCAAATTCAAATTCGAATCAAACTCAAATTCAACTCTAGTTAAATCCAGTGTAACATTAGCCTAAGTTGCAACATTCGATGGATGATGTGTGTAAAGGAAGCGAGACGTCATCAGTCCTTCGATGCCCAAGATGATGAACGAACGAGACAGAGAGAAAGTGCCCTGAGCAAGGGCAAGCAAGAAATGGCCTAGAAAGTGATGGGAAAGTGCTGAGAAAGCGGAACGGAAGTGACCCCAAAGGCCGAACCAAAATTAATACAAATTTTTTGATTAACATCTAATAGCTGTCAACCTATATCCTCCCCTTAAGTTGTAGTGTTTATCTAGCCCATATACTTATAGTTTGTGTGTTTAGTTCAGACTTTGATTTTCTTTTACATATTCAGTTTTCCTAATACTAACTAGTTGCAGTGCGGGGCAATGGCCTGGAGACATGGAGCATTTTTGTAGAAATGCACAACGGCAGGCCTTAGAATTGCCCCCACTGAAAAGATTACAAATTAAACAAAATATAATTAGCGAAATTACTCAAATTTATACTCTTAGCATAGATACTAAATGTCTTAGATTATAACTACGTACATATCTAATAAGTGTTTAGAATTGTGTCATATCTACGGTATATCGAAAAAGTGTAACTCAACTTATAACTCTATATCAAACATAGCTCAAACCAAGGCTGTTAATGCAGAAAGTAACAAGAAATGGGCCTGAATTTATTCAGCCCTCTAGTTATGCACTGGAAAAATGAAGTTCAAGTCCAGTCGCAGAACATTTCTTAGAAAACAGAACATATATATAACTAGTATATAGCGGCAAATCCTTAGATGCCAACACACAGACACACACTTAACTAGAACTCTAAGTACACATAATGATTAACTATAGTAAAACAGTCGCTCATATTTACACTCTATTACAATTAGTCCTGATATAATCTCGATACTCTTTTGTTCGACTTCATTAGCTATGATATAATCGTGTGAGTGTCAGTAATTACCCTTTTTTATGCCTTTCTTTTCTGTGCTCTCTCTTGTGTTCCATGCGACTCCCTTAGATAACATCATGTGGGGACTGGGGACATTGCCCGAAGGTGAGTTAATAACTATAATTTATACACGAACTAAAAACTAATATATATATCAACTTTAATATAGGTTTTCCGGCAGCTGCCTATGCTGCTTATGCCGCTGGTCGCGGTTACTCGGGCTATCCCAGTTTTGGACTGCCCTATCCAACTGGTAAGTGCGGCTCACACCCACTTAGACACAATCACAATCACAACCAAGCACACACAGACACACTCATATGAAACCTGCACACATACTCGTACATACTCAGCCCCTCTGTTCATTAATTTGTATGAGAGTGAGAGTGAAGAAGCAACCCCAGTGACTAAAACCAAACATAACCCATTGAAACCCCACCGAACCGACCAGTCTGTGCCACTTGATATGACGAAAGGCCTCGATAACATCCATTAGCATTACTAACTGAACTAGTACTTGTGACTATTCGTTAGCCCTCGATGTTTCCGTTCGATTCGTGTCTTATTCATCAACAGATACAGTCAAACATCAATGTTTTATTTCCGTTTCGCTTGGTTCACTCTTTTTGATTTTTCTTTATTCTGTCTTTGTGTTTTGCTTTTGCAGCGGGTGTGATGGGCGTAGTGCCGGAGAATCGGATACTGATTGGCGACTATATGGCCTAGGACGATCGCGCCCCCAATGACTATATATCGAGTATTACTCAAAGATCATAATCATTAACGAAATAAATCACTGTTTTCCAAAAAAAAAAAAATATATTAAAAACAAACCAAAGCGTTCGTCATATCAATGCACAAATAGCTGAAGATCGGAATCACTCAGAAACTATATGCCACCACATACGACATCTAGAAACCCCTAGTATTGAGTCCTGCGCATCCTGCAGATGTATGTCATTGACGCTGCTTGGCCTTGAGTTTATCATTTGCCCACCACTGAACACACTGACCCAACACTGGCTACTAGGGCTTCTAGCTGATGTGAATTGATCCCCTGACCCCGATTCCTCCGAAACCCTCTGTCTAAGCTAGAACTGTAAAACAATCGATAAGGTTATCGAACAAATCGATTGTCGGTTTTCTTATGTGGTAATCTGAAATATTACTGTTAAGACCTAAGATTAAGATTAGTTTTATCCAATTAATTGCTATCGATTATTGATTTCAACGGAATCGATATGATCCTGCAAGTTAGTCTTTTATTTTTCGATTAATATTCAAAAGGACTTTTTATTTCTGTTTATATTTACAAGCTGATGATCAGTGTAATGGTTTGTAACCCTTATTTATTATCAATCGAAAGTTTTACAGCTCTAGTCTCTAGTCCAGACTGTACCTTTCTGTTTGCCCCCTCTCTTTCTCTCTGTCTATCTCTCTCTCTTCATGTATCTTGTATCTCGTATGATTTTGTAGGCTTGACAATTTGCGGCATCGGTAGAAGTTATGGTACCGCTTGTAGCGCTGCACCGGGCCGCAGCAGAGCTGCCCCCGCTGGCGCCGCCTCTGCTGCTGCGGCGGGAGGCGTTGCCCCCTCCGGTGGCGCCCCTGGCCACGCCCAGTCGGCATACCACCAACAGGCGTTGACCCTGCCGCTGGCCACGGCGCTCACGGCTCGATCCGCGGCCATCAAATCGCAGTTTCTGGGCAACATAAATTTCTAAACGAGAACCAAAAAAAAAAACCGAATCGAATCGTATCAAATCGCACAAGTCTGAGATTGAGAATGAGAATGCTAATGAGAATGAGAATGTGAGATGCAGAGTTCCGTTTTCATTGCCGCCCTTTTCTGTGTCAAGTAACTATATCATTCGAACGGTGACAAGTAGGTACAGCCATTACGACTCCAATGCCAACAGCAGCTGGAGGAGATATGCAACCCAGAGCGTTAGTTTAGCTTGTATCTACGGTAAATGGTAACCACTGCAACAACCACAGTAAAAACCACTGTTAAACTACCACGGAAATACTCAAAAGTGGAGCTAACATGCAAAGAACTAAAGAGAGATTTGAAAAGAACTACATAGAAAATGTAACTTCGACACAAAACACACTCACACACCTAGAGCTGCAGTCTATATAGCTGACACACACACATATACTTACACACTAGACTCTCCCGAAAAGTATTACCCATATATTATTGTTGGAGCAGTTAACCAATTACCGCAGCAGTATCAGTAGTGACTAGAGGCATCCCTAAAACTTAAAAAAAAAAAAAAACCTATAATTACGTATCTTTAGAGCAGCTAGCACCCGTACTAACCAATCCTAGTGCAGTTCCGTAATCGGATGTAATCGAGTACTTAGAATCGTTTAGATCTAGGCCAGCATAATCACTCAAAATACTCACAGACATGCGTACACACTTTGATATCTGTCTTTCTCTAGAACCCCAATTAGAAATGTGTGACACAGTACTTGTATAACGAAACTTTATAGCGAACTATACTCGATCTTCATAAGCTCCTCCACCCACTCAATTATATATAAATATATACGAGGTGTGTTCAAAAAGTAAGGTGACTTTTCAAATTTCGCGGGCAACATATTTTCGATTATCGATTTTTTTGTTTTGTTATATTGGTACACTCTTCCCTAACATCTGTACCAAGTTTCAATGGAACATCCTCTTTTGTTTGGTTGTGAGAGGCGTAAAGTTACAAGTTATTTTGCGAGCTCGGCGATTTTTTGCTTGGCTCGCCTGGGCTCTTCCATTGGGACGATTGGGCTTTGGTTTCGATATCATAACCATATACCCATGATTCGTCACCAGTTATGACCCTTTTGAGTAAATCTGGGTCGTCGTTGACGTCATTCAACAGCTCTTGAGCGATGCTCATGCGACGGTTCTTTTGGTCAAAATTCAGCAATTTCGGAACAAACTTCGCTGACACACGACTCATACCCAAAACGTTTGAAAAAATTTCATGGCACGAGCCAAGCGATATACCGACATCTTCAGCAACTTCTCTGATAGTGATTCGACGATTTTCCAAAACAATTTTCGTCACTGCTTGAACGTTTTCATCAGTTGTTGACGTGCTTGGGCGTCCAGAGCGAGGCTGGTCATTGGCATCTTCCCGGCCATCTTGGAAGAGTTTGTACCACTTGTACACATTTTTTTTACTCAGAACAGTTTCACCGTATGCCACTGTCAACATTTCAAGTGTTTCAGAGCACTTAATTTTATTTTTTACACAAAATTTGATGCAAATCCTTTGATCCATATTTTTCGATAGCAAAAAATCGCCGAGCTCGCAAAATAACTTGTAACTTTACGCCTCTCACAACCAAACAAAAGAGGATGTTCCATTGAAACTTGGTACAGATGTTAGGGAAGAGTGTACCAATATAACAAAACAAAAAAATCGATAATCGAAAATATGTTGCCCGCGAAATTTGAAAAGTCACCTTACTTTTTGAACACACCTCGTATATATGTTTATCTCGCTTTTTTACACCCTGACCTGTGACCATTTGCATCCCGTTTCAGGGACGCATATCTATTATTTATAAAACTATTTTACCGTAGCATTTAAATGCAAATTTCATTTGTAGTCCCTGTATGCATAAATTAGTTGCTACCCCCACACACACCCAAAGAGCACAACGGGGAAAGTGCACATGGAAAAACATTTAGATAACAACAAATTTTAGCAGGCCTGTCACATGTAGTGCCATTATTATCCTTTAATTAATTTGCTGCACATTATGTATGCAATTTTTCCTTTTTTCCACACCGCTTGCCATATCCATAACCCTATCCATTTCCCATTTTCCCATATCCTCGTTGGCATTTTGTTTTTGCTTCCGTTGTTGTCGGTGGTCCCATGAGTTTTTAGATAATTAGCAAACGTGCAGAGATTTTTGCCATAGCTAAAGTTCATTAATTAGTAGATTTGCCCATTATCCGTAGCTCTGTGTGTTATTCCGTTTCATATGTATTTGTTAACCGCATTTGGCCCACATACGAATTGAAGCCTTGAAGCATTCGAAACTATATAAATTCCTTCCTTCATCGGTGCATCGCAAGAATTCCAAAAAAAAAAAATGGCTAACAGCAACCAACTAACGAGCGAAATTTTTCGACATTTCTATTTAACGTACATATATATAGACATTACTATATACATACCTATATATACTATACCTTATATACATGAATATTTATATACATATTTAATATACGACGTTTACAAGCTAAGTTGGGTATTCATTTTATACGAAGCGTGAATCGATTTGATTTGTACAATAACGAAAAATACAATATTAATGTCCATCCATTTTCGAAGAGCAACTAGCAGCGCCAAAATGAAAACAAAAAAAAAACAAATAACAAAATCAAAAAACCAAAAATCAAAGACAACAAATCTCTCTCTTAAGTTGATGAAAAATGCAATTTTTCTATGACCCCTCCATGTAAGTCTCACCTTGACACACACACTCATACTCGAACCTAGCTCTTTAAACAGACACACTCAAACACACACACAGACAAACCCAATACGAAAAAAGATCGGTCAACAACTCTATATAGATGGATAAGCTGTTACTTAGTTAATTGAATGCAATTATCGCAACTCTGTGGCATCCGGATGCCCGGAAAATGCTTCGAGGTATTTTGCAACTATTTAAATTGACAATTACCAAAACGCTTGCGAGTTATTTACAAAAACCTATATAGCAAAACACACAGACACGAACACACAAACACACCCACGCATATTCCAATATGTATTTTACACGTATATACTGTGATTTATAAGAAAACGCTTCAAACGAGAACAAGAAAACCATTTGCTTGCGCAGAAACCAAATCGAAAACGATATGCAAATCGAAAACGAAAAAGAAATCGAAATCGAAAAGTTATTAACTAAATAAATGCACAAAACTAAGATAAATAAAGTGAAAATAAAATAAATTGCGGATGCTAAGCCGAAACAAAAAGTCTATCCTTTCGGGGCCTCAGGCATTGCCTTCCATTCCCCGATTATTAGCGTTTCCAAAAGGGATTGGAATTGACGGGGCCGAGTGAGTGACAAAGTGGCCATTGGGGCGTATGCGTAATATTCTGACAGCAACTTGGCAAGGACATTGCGGCAGGCAAAGAGAAGCAGAAGCAGCCGCGGCAACAGGACAGCAAAAGAACAGCAACAGCAACCACAACAACAACAACAATGAACGTTCGTCAGTCAACAAGGTCAGCTAATGGTCGTCTTATTGTTCCAATGCATAGTCGTACAAGCATTATACTCTTTTTATATACGTATATTCATCTTTATATTGAACCTATAACCGTTTGTTGGCTCCATATCCGAATAAATTTTCACATTTTACGATTATTAACTGTATGTAAACTGTTAGATGATAGAAAAAGTTTTAGCAAAAGAGCGCAATAAAAACACACAAAATTGTAAACTGAATGCCCCAATGTTGGGCGCCAGTCGTAGTTGAAAAACATACTATATATATATATATATATTTCTGTGTAGTGTTCTTCTGTTTTGAGAAACTTTGTTTTATAAAACATTTAACACACATCAAAAACTAACAATACCAAATTAGCTCAAGCGTCGGACGAAAAAGTAGCTCGAAATAGCATTTAATTTACCAAAAAATGTATCATGTAACACGTTCATTAGTAGCAAACAGCTGTAACCATAAAACATGTATAACCCCACACAAACACATATATAAGTATTCATATTATATGTATACCCTAGTTTTAATATTACTTCTACTTCTCCCCACCTACCCCCGTCGAAAAGAACTTTATCTGAAACTGTGTAGCCGTATCATGATCATGTAAATGTCTTCAGTTGACCGATTTTGTTTGTTGAAATGTCTCAATTTAACCTTTTATTGTGGCCGTAACAGGGTTGCCAGGTCGACAGCTGGTAACAGTTGTTTTTCCGCAACCGCAAGACTGACAATTGCAATTTTTCCACAAACCCACAACCAATCCACTGCCTTCCCCCACTTCCAGCGGAAACGCATTTCATGCAATGGCAGCCCGAAAAAAAACCTGAAACCCCGGCTAAATAAGTTATTTATTTACAAAAGCCAACCGTTGCTGCCATTCCGATTGCTATTGCAACTGCTGCTGCTGTTGTGCTGCTACTGCTGCTGCTCCTGCTTTTACGGGCTCTTTATTTCGGTCCATATACGGATCCGGGGTTTCGGGCGCTTCTTTGTATCAGAGTTCCAGACTCAACTCTAATGAAAACAACATGGCGCACCGAGATTTCGCACAAAAACGTAAACTAAACGTAAGCCAAAGTTGATTGGCGCCATAAAACGCACAACGGCGATGACGAAGGTCGTAAGGGTGAGTGGGTGACTGGGTGGTGAATGGGTTATGGGGGATGGAGGGAGAATGGAGGATTCTACAATAAGCGAACGACTGCCAGGGACATGCCTCGTTACGTTACGTCACGTTACGTTACATCAATTTTTGTGTTTCCGCAGGAAATGCAAGTGCTACGTTTCCTCCCATGCCCCAAATACCATATTCTTCCCACTACAGATATATCCCTATTCCGATCCCGATCCCAGCCATAACCCGTTACCCATTTTTTCGCTTGCCTTCATTCACATTCGCATTCTGTTGTCATTTCAATATTGGCGCTGGCGTATTTTTACTTGCTGTTGCAGCTGTGACCATAACAAGGGAAAACAGCCACAAAAAAAGCGCACAAAAAAAAAAAAACGATAACAATGATAACGGGGGCAAAAAAAAAAGGGGGGAAATATAGGAGGGAGGGGGAAATCCCAGCCAGGAGCGCCCAAAGGAAAGTGCACATCACTGGGCAAACCAAGCGTAGTAACTGAGTTTGGATGGGTTCGGATTGGTTTGGTTTGGTTTAGTTTGGCTTTGGCTTTGTCACTGTAGCGTCAACATCCTCTAGCCAAAGCTCGTTTAATAACCGAGCACTTTGTGTTTTCATAACCTGCGTTCCAGTTAGCGCTTCCTCCCAAAAAACCACCCACCTCCCATTTATACTTTATATGTGTATGTACTATATGTATTTCCTTTCGCTCTTTGGTTCGTCTTTTGTGTTTGCTTTTGGCATCGTAGTTGTTCTGGGACTAGTTAGAGTTGTTTACTTTCGCTTTTGATTGTTTGCTTCCTCGGCACACCGATATAACAGAGCTATATAGCTATAGCTATAGCCACATATATAACAATCGCATACTCGAATACTCTCTCACTCCATGCCCACTATAAATATATTCGTATATATATATACTCGATCCTTAACTCCCATTCGTACATGTATCCCAAACTCCCCCCATATATACCCTTAGAGCTCAGCCTTGATTACTTTCGTATACTCTTGTGTCGCGGGCACCTCCTATATGTGCCCGACTTTTACTCGCCTAGTTACTTACGATCCAACATTAGCCAGCAACCACTAATGACACGACTCTTGCTCCTCTTTTGCCACTTACAGTTGATCTAACCAATGGGCAGCTGACACCCAACAACAATACACCGCTGCTGACCCAGGCGCTGTCAGGTGAGTGACCTCCTTTCTACTTTTCATTATTTATTATCTATGGAAAAACTATGTTCATGTGGAGTATATAAAAGTAATTTAAATAGTCACTTAAATGGAAATCGGTTTATCAAAAGTCATAATCTGTGACTATTTGCTAATGGCGTCAAATACTATAAACATAAACTATAACGGGTAAACAGATGTCTGTCAATCGTTTATGAAATCATGGCGTGAATGTCAATATCATGCTTATTGGCAAACATTTTTGGTCTGTTAAGTTAGATGAAGTTACCAAGCTGTTGCTTTAGTTTCGGCTTGCTACAAGTATACAAATAGTTACCATAGTTATTAGTTAATATATTTAAAGGTATTCCTTAAATACATAACTTATCTAACTCGTTATGGCAATACTGCGTATACGTATTACAATAGAAATAGCTCAACATAAATAACATAAATCATTCGCACTGTTGCCCAAATTGAACTTAATTTTTTCTGAGATATTTAACCAGACAATTTGACTTTAAAAACTAATGAGACCCTTTTCCCCCATATTCCAGTGATGAACAACTATCAGGCGGCTGCTGCGGCCGCCCACAGCTACGGACCGTCGGCATCGCCTCATGCCGCCGCCGCCAATACGGCCACCCGGCAGGGATTTCCCTCGACCAACTCGCCTGGCCCCACCATCGACATGTACAGCTCGGCGGCCGCCGATAATGTGGGCTATGTGCAGGCCACCAGCCCGCAGCCGTCCGGCTTCCCCATCGCCGTCAGCCGCGCCCCGTTGAACTACAGCCCGGTGAGTTGTCCTTTTGATCAAACGGCAATGAGTCCCAAGTTCCGAGATTCAAGGATCTCTGGACTTGGGCATAGAGCTAGAGACTAAGTCAACGATACGAAACACCCACATGAGACGAGAGAGAATTCCGAGTCTCGAGTTTAGCGATTCGATCCCGAATCCTTCACTACTTCACACTAACTCACACACACACACACACTCATACCGTAGAGATAAGGAGAGACTGCCGATGTAGAGCTAAACTATTGCGTTATCCTTCTATATATTGTATGTATTTCTCTTTCATTTCGTACAGATTTATTCGTTGAACTTTGCGATGGCTAATATATAAAAGACTGATAACCCAAAAATATAAATGCAAGAGAACAAAAAACAAAAAGATATGCAAAAAGTAAAAGAAAACCCCATTATATATATATATATTAAATCGAAAAAAATATATGAAAAAAGATACAAATAAAATAAAGCTAAACGAAAGCAAACAAAAGAAATAAGAGTATAAACAAACGCAGTTGCACAAGGTAGGCACACCAACAAAACTACAGCGTGTTCTCTTCTTTTTTCAACTAAACGATTTCAATTATTAACAATCAAATTCTTTTAACTACAACTAGTCAAACAAAAAAATTACAAAAAAAATAAAAAAATAAATAAACGTAAAAATATGTATGCACGTCACAAGCACAGTTTTCTAGGCCGTTTCAATTAAACTATTATTATTTATTTAAATTGTATACACCATATATGTATTATATATGAATATTTTCATATTTCAATATCTCAATATTCCCATGCCTCGCTGCAAACTAAAATAAATCATATCGAAACATATTTATTATCCATGGCTGTCGGCGAGGTTTGATAAAAAACATGACAATCAGTGGGGGTCTCCGGAAAAATGCATTTTTATTTCATAAATTTCCCCCAATAATCAAATTAAGTGCATTTATTTTCGGAATAACAGAAATGCAAAAAAAAAAATCAGTTCGAAATTCAAAATCTAACTATTGGTATTTAATAAATTTCACACACAATAAATTTCCAGATTGGTTGCCTTTTTTGGGGAAAAGACAAAAATAAATTAAAAATAATTTTTAGCCAAAAGGTGATGTGACTTAACTGGTTTTGTTGCCTACTTTTTGGGGCACAAGTATTTTCAAAACAAACACCAATATAAACTTGATAATTTTCCATAAAAATAAAGATGAAAATTAAATTTTGAATCAACGATTTTCACACTTTTATCAAGCCTTGCCAGTGTTCTGTGAAATTTTTAGATCTCTTTATTTGTTTAGCAAAAGATTCGAAAAATTTCAAAATTTTGAACTTTTCTTCTTCCGACAAACTTGCCACTTTCTTCTATTTCTATATATTCAGTACATATATGTATTCCTCTTAATGTTTACTTTCTATATATATCATTATACTTATATACCTATACTTATATAAATACATACATATATGTGTGTGCGTAGTTATTATGCAACTAGAAATTGCATTTTATTTGAATAATTTTTGGTGTTTGCTTGTTTTGTTCTCCACGAAACGTTTATTTACAGGGACCACTAATTCCTGCGGCATTTACAAATGGATACCATTAAAAGGTGGCGCCGACAACCGCAATGACAACAACAACAACAACAACAACAACAAGCAGCAACAGCATCAGCAGCAGCAACAACAATATTAAAACAACAACAACAGGAGCAACAAAATGCAACAGCAACTTTAGCAACAAATGACAGACACACACACTCACACTTACACTCTCACACACCGACACTGCAGTGCTGCAACCACAGAGCGCAAAAAAAAAAAAGAAGAAATAATTTAAAATTATATATACCTGCATATATATAAATATAAATCAAATAAAGTACATATTACATATTTGTGTATTTCCACATGGCAAAATGAAATCCGTTGAGCAAGAAAAACCGAGACAACTGCAAGAGCAACAAACAATAAACCAAACACACATATTATAATTAATTAATTAACGTATATTACAAATACGTACATATAAACGCATGGCAGAAAAAAAAAAAAACCAAAAAAGAACATAAAAAAAAGTTATATATATATAAAAAAGCGATGAGGACGAACTACGGGCGAACACAAACAGAAAAAAAATTAATTTTAATTTAACAACCACTACAACAACAACAACAAGAGCAGCAGCGGCAAGAACAACGCTCGGCCCCGAAAGATGCAACGTGTGCAGCAAAAATCGTTTAAAATGCAAATTAAACGGAAACTGTGCGTCCAACTGGAGTGGAGTGCCATCGCGGTGGGCGGCTGTGGGCGACTGTGGCGGCGGCATGGCAGATGGGCGTGGCCCTGCTCACACAGCAAAAAATCGGAGGCCTCCTCTTTCCATGCCCAAACGCCCACCGCCCTTTGGATGACAACCAGGCCAAAAGGGGCGTAACCACTTTTAAGTAATGAGAAACCAACAAACGAAAGCAAAAAACCAAAAACACAAAAAAAGGAAATCACAAAAAAAATATGAGGGGGTTACTAATAAAAAACGATAGAGTTGAAAACAAAAAAAAAAAGATTATGCGAAAATGTTGCAATAATAGCAAAAATGTTATTATTTAATTGCGTATTATTAAAGGCAAATTATTATTACCATTATTATTGCTATTCTTAACGTATCTAAGTTGTAACTTTTAAAGTTAAAGTCGATATATATATATGTATAAATATATATATATATATATATATATATACAAGAATATACACTCTTATACACATAAAGTAAACTGCAATATATAGAAAAAGGGAATTACTTGAATCAAAAAGCGAGAACCAACCACATATTACTGTACTTTCAACGATAATCGATGTAGGAGTTCGATGATGTTATGAATCGGTTGGGCTTAGTTTTCATTTCTCGACTGGGTTGGGGTGAATCAAAAATCAAAATTGTGCTTGCAATTATAATTATGAATTTATTTTAAAGTACAACAAATCCTTTATTGGCCAAAGTAAACAACAACAAAGAAACAAAAGCGAAAATGTGAGCAAAAGTCGAAGGCAATTTGTTATTAACTATGTTGAAGTTCTCTTTCTCATTATTTCTCAATCGAATCAGGGGAACTTAGAAGAAGAAAATTAAAATGAAAATGAAAATGAAAAGAAAAACCTATAACTTTTGTGTTCACATTGAAAGCAAAATGGTAAATAATGCTAATTAAACAGTGGATAGTTAGACAAATATGTTAAAGCATTAAATATGACAATGAAAGCGAAGTGAGAGAGATTTCCGTAGCTCGAGGCATAAATCAATTTATTTGCTAAAAACAAAGAAAAAACAATGGAAAATCCAAAACAATGAAAACTGCAAAAAGCAACTCCCTAAACATGTAAGGAACACACAATTTTTGAGATACAAGATACACGACACACACACACACATACTTATACACACAGATGCAGACGACAAACACACACTGACAGAACACAGATCTTACGGATAAATCAAAAAGAAACACTTAAACAAATTACTTGGTAAGAGCATATGCAAATATAACAATGAACTATTATACATACAACATATAGTACGATTAAGTAAATAAAATATTTATAAAACAAACGCGCAAAATCGCAAATGTTTGAACACTTAACTAAATATATATATATATATCTGTAAACAAGCGTGTAAAAAGGATCACAGATGAGCCATACAATATGGATGTGCAGAATCTGAAATGAGAAATGAGTAATATGAATCATGATGTCGATGAAATGCAGGCCACGCAATGTGCAATTAATTTTTTTCTAGTCGCTCCGTCCGTCTGGCAATTGGCTAGGACGATGGATGTACTAGACATATTTGAGGACTATGACGATAACGATAATGACGATGACGACGACGACGATGCAATCGGGGGCGTAATAGAAAAATATATTTATATACAACTATATGGAGTATTAAATTATTGGAAAAGCAAACCAAACAAAACCAAAACCTATCAGCTAGATAAGTAAACAACATTTGTTACACACAGCAAGTGGGGGAAATTGCAGGCAACAAAAAACCAAAAAATAGCAGAGAGAAGGAAATATTCTATAATTGACAGAACAACAATACGTTGCGCTTTTTGTCTGTCTGAGATTTTTTGCATTAGGCGACGTAAAAACCAGTCAAAAAAAAACTAAAACCAAAAACACCACTAAAACAAAAGCAGAGACGACAGCAAACAGAGAAAAGCCAGTGAAAATATGAAAAAGAAAAACAAAAAACGAAAAACAAAAGCAAATGCCGAAGCAGTGAAAATGTTCCTTTCATAACTTTTTTGCCAAATTGTCAAACCAACGCTCTCCAGGACTTTTGTCGAGTCTCGGACCAACAAACTTACACATTACCTATATAGTAAAGGGAAATCGCGGGATCCGAACAACAAACATATACGATATTTAAAGAATGACAAGAAATAGTTGCAGTGTAACATAAACTACATTAAACGTTTGAACTGTTGAATCCCCCTCCCCCAAAAACAAACACCGATCATTTCAGATTTCCCAAAGATCGCAACTTGCGACTTTGCCATGTGCATCACACTTATAAATAATAAAAAAAAAAAAACAAAACAAAAAAAAAACAAAGGCTAAAAAATTAAGGCAGCAAAAAGACAGAAATCTTCAATTTTAGATAGACAAAGATCAGACCATTGGACAGTCTGGCATATCGGGGAGTTTGTATGGAAGAAGACCTTAAGCAGGAGCGGATTACTTTAGCAGAGGTTAGAGGTCAGAGGTCATTGGGGAGAATTCCAGCTGCAGCTTCTACCCTGCGGGGCGGATATTTTTAAACGGGGAAGCTGGCGAAGGGCAGCAACGGCAAACATGTTATATTTGCATAATATATATATATATATATATATATATTAAAACTACTTCTAAGGCATATATAAATATATATAAATAAATATATTTTTAAGACATGTTCTAAAAGCAATAATTCAAAACAACAACAACAAGCGTGACGGAAGGCAGAATTGAACAAAAAAAAAAAACAAAAAAGGAATACATAAAATATACACCAATATATAAATATACATAAAGATATATACACCTACACGTAAATATATATACATGCATACCAGATATATATATATATATATTAAAGAAAGCGATTAGCTGAAACTGAAAACGCCAGGCCGACCTTCGACTGTCTTAGTCTGAGTCTGGTTTAATCATTTCGCAGGCAGCTAAGCCTGTATTGCTACACTTCTTTAACTAGAGCCCTGCGATCCATGATCCTTGGGCCGGCAATCGTTTGTACTCGTATTATTTGTGGTGTAGGTGGAAGGAACTTTAGATAATCTAAGGATCCAAGGTCCTCTTACGTTGTAAGTCGATGCAGCTTTAGGTGTAATGTTGAGTCTTTCTTAGAAGTTTCCCCAGCATTTCCCCGCTAACGATCGACTCTAGGCTTTCCGTTTGTGTTGTGTAGCGCTCTATATTCTATAAGGATCTTCTGCGGAAGCTATAGCCAGCCAAAGAGACATATAACTATTGGTATACCGGATCAACTTCAGCTTAAAGAATACCGTAACAAGCAACAAGCAATGCGTCCTTGTAACAAAATCAATTTCAGTCAATTAGAGAATTTCAAACACCAAACAAAGCACAGAGACATTAAGACAAGAACAACAACAACAACAAGCAACAAGAACATTTTTTAAATACAAAAAAAAAAGTAAAACAAAGCAAAGACAAAAACATAACAGAAAACAAACATTTTTCATTATTTTTTTACTGATGCGTCGTCAGAGGGAAAGGGAATTCAGGAGGTGAGATCGCGGGAACTCGACGGCGCAGGCGCAAAAGCTTTAAATTGAACAAAAAATATAAATAACACGAACAAGGAGAACAAGAACAATTTATAGAATTCGACAAGTGAGCTCTCTTTTTTATATCGAGAACGGAAAAAAGTGTGTGTATAAAAAGTATGCCGTAACGATTTTTTAAAAATAATGTACCCCATACTTTAAGCTATATGCAACTTTCTGTCAAAAAAAGTCAATTGGTGGCCGAAGCCGGGGTAGAAAGCCAAAAGTTAAAATTAAATAAAAAAAAATAACACGCGGCATGAAAAGACATAAAGGTGTAATGTAAAATAGTTTTAAATTGGCGAAACACCAGAACACAATGTTGAGGATTGGGTGTAGGCGCAGTTACGTAGTTACATATACGAATTGCTTTCCGTTTTTCTCTTATTATTGACTTACAAACATATCAGTTCTTATTATATGTATGAGTATAGCAACAACATCAACACGTACGATTACAATTACGATAACGATTACGATAATGAAATACAATTTAAATAATATCTAGCGCTAACGAACGAAGAAACTTTCTGTTAACCAAAACCAAAAATAAAGAACAACCACAACCACACAGATGAGTAAGGCAGGACGCCCATTTGGCCTTTGTGAGAGCGCAGAGAAGGGCGCCTGTCAGGATATACGACTTGTGGGCCTTCTACACTTTGACGTGCTTTTATACGATATAGCAATCCTTTTACTCACACGAGACATTTCTATCCTCGGTTCTTTTTTATAGACATGTGTACATACACCTCACAGCACCCACACACAGACACACCCATACACACAAACACTCAGCCACAGACACAGACACTGGCACACGCATATATACGATGGAGATCACATACAAAAGAACCTTCATACGAACGATCACTTGACTATTTTTGCTATAAGTAAGAAATTCCCCCCAGGAATGTGTCAGTCGGAAGTGGCAGAACTCCTGCTGACAAAACACCTTTACTATATTGACAATATCTCTTATATATTTTACACTATACTATATGGAAAATTATATATTAATATATACAAGAAAATGAGGAAAACCAAAAACAAATAATACATAATTGAGGCAAGACGTAACGGCGTGAGTGGCGTTAAAATTGTATTTACAAGAAATGCGTAACCAGGCAAAGATGAAATCATTTTAATACTTTATACACATAAAAGTCAAAGGAATCTTTAGAGACAAAAACCAGGCGGCAGATGAATATGCAACTACAAGACAGACAGACAACAAGACGATGAAGATACATTTATAAAATGCGCCATAGCAGGGCGTCCAGTTTGTAAGTATTCTAACTATGTAAGTAAAAGTAATTAAGGAGCGCAGGACGAGAATCAATTAAACATACATACTGTCTACGGAACGCCAGAGCCAAAAGCTCTGGCAAACTTTCAGTGCGAATACTTTAACACAAAATGAAACCAGATGGAATGGAATCGAATCGAAATGGAATGGATGTCATGGATGGGTTTGGGTGATTTGAAATCGGACACATTGGGTATGGGTATGGGTTGATGATGAATGTTGAATGTTGCGGCGGGATGGGAGATTGCCAATGTGTGTACATAAGCATAATACATAACATAAACTGGTACAGTACTACACTTACAGCAAACTATACAAGGTAAAAAGAACATAATAATAACTAACGGCCAGACATTGGAAAAACAAACTTAAGGCGGGAGACACATACACATAAATAGAAGCATAACGAGAATTTAATAAACAATTTTTCATTTCTATAAAGAAATCCGGTAACGAATTTGTATATTTACTACGAGAAAACGCATAATAAAAAAAGGAGACAAAAAAAAACCGAAATATATATACAAAAAGATATATATGCTAAACGGTGGACGAACACCCAAAAAGGCCCTCGAACCTTTCCGTGGACAGCAAATATGCCCGTATATACATATATGAGAATAAAAACCCAAAAATGATATATATACATATATATACATAGTTATATAACCAAGAACAACAAATAAACATATAGTTAAATTCAATAATGTTAAGCATTCGATGAGCAAACAGACAGGCAGGCACGCATACTGGTGGTTAAAGAAATTCAATTATATATAAGGACCCTCGAACCGAAAAGAACAGAACTATGCGGCAGCCACCAATAACAACAACAACAACAACATCATCATGCAACAAACAATACCATCAACAACGGCAACATCCTTAACAACAACAAAAACAGCAAGTGCAACATTTATTAACAGACGACAAAAGGGCAAATTGTTGCTCTTTTACACACTCACACACACCCACACCCACATAAAATTACATAAGTTTTTAAAAGACCCATACACACACACACATAAGCACTTTACCCACAAACACACATATTACCACCATCCACTCACACAGTCAGCCCCCAATATGTATATGCAACAAAAATGAGAACAACTTTAGCAGCAAATTAAAAATCACTTTGTTCACAATGTGCCACACGTACAGGGAGAAAAGAGATGAGGTTCTTGGGGATATCCGTTATCCCTTTGATCAGGTTGAGATCGGCATTGAAATCGGCAGAATCAGCAGCAACAACATAGATCAGCAACCGCATATTAAACCAAAAACAACAAAAAAAAACAAAAAAAAAAACCAAAACAAAGAATACAAAAGAACAGAAAACTAAAACATGATTTTAAACAAAAATGAAATTAAATAATGGCATAATAAGTTAAGCTAATGGTACATAAGTTTAAAAAACAAACGGCAAGAAACGCTCTAGAGCAACAAAAAAACAAGAAGAACAGAAAACCAAGACAAACAAATATATATATATATATATAAAATAAAAATTATAATGAAATAACTGAGAAATAAATAAATTAATTCATAATGATAAATAAACCAATATGAACATTGTTCAAAAACAAAAACCGTGTAGTTCTTACTGGGTGAACGAAAAGCTTGTTTTGAATTCCTAGATTCCATAAGAAAATCAGTTATTAATATTTTCTAATTTTGAATTTAGAATTTGGAAAATATTAAAATTTGTATTTTTAAAGTAGAAACCTTTTACTTATTTTTTATTTTAACTATCTATCCGGAATTATAACTTTCATCACAATTTTCACACACTCCATACAGTTTGAGACATAAGCTTAGATTTTCTATTACCTTTTCAATCTGCTTTTCCTTTCGCAAAGCAAAAACTCGACTTGGTAAAAAGAACAACAACCACTTTATTTAACAGGATATTTACAGGACATCAAGCGGGGCAGTAAACACAAATCCACTCAGGATATCGGGAAGTATACTATCGTAATGCGGGATTAGCCCCACTCAGCTGGACTTCTTGAGCTTCTTGGCCTTCTGCCTTTCGTCCCACCACCTGGCATACCACTTGGCACTCCGCTCGGCACTCGTATCCGGATCGAAGAGTGGCATGTAGTCCATGTGAATGGAGGCTCTTAACCGATTATACATCAGCATCGAGGACGTGTAGGAGGCGATAGCGCGTAGGGAATACCGCAGGCGGTACTTAGTGTAAGGGTAAGCCACCCTTACCACCACCTCCAGCAGGAAGGCCAAAAAGAAGAATAGGAAGTGGGGTATGTACCACCAGCTAGTCTTCACCTTGAACCGTTCGCCCAGCACTGCCATCTTCTGGACAAATCTCGATACATCATTGATGCCCGTATCATCGGTGACAAAGACGGGCAAACCATTCACAGCTTTGTCGGATACTTTCAGGGTCTTATAGGCGCAGATATGTCCCCAGGCCACATTTCCAGCGTAGACCAACTGCTGCTTGCCACCCACTCCCGCGATCCTTGGGAAAACCCATCCCCTGGAAGAAAGATAGTCGAAGAGCTCTGTGATGAAGAGCGAATCACACTCGCCATAGGTCAACGGGGCACGAATGGCGCTGGTGGCCAGGTATTCTGCAAAGATGGAAATAAATTAATAAAATAATTATACAATGTATGTTCAATCCAGAAATTATACTTTAAACAAATAAAATTTATTATATTTATGTTAGAAATGTTAGAGTCTTACTGACCAGTCTTACCTTTTTGGTTATTTAGAGGAGCTCCATTTGAGTTGAGCACTATGTTTTCTGCTCTCAGTTTGCTGGACGCGTATCCTGGTACAAGGAACTGGCTGTCCTGGTCCCACAAGTTGGAACTATCTAGAGTTGGTGTGTCTGTCTTGGATTCCGTGGAGTTAATTACAGCTGAGAAGGTACTACGCCCCTTGAAGGGCACAAAGCAAACGGATGTACAGCTGGTGTAAACCAGACGCTTGACATTATTTTGGATGCACAGGTCGACCACGGATAAAGTACCTAAAATTCGATAAAAACAAGAAAAGATTTAAATCAGGTTGAGATAATTCTTCTATTCCGGAAATACACTGGCTAGTACACCTTAATGAGATCAAATCAAATCCAAAGACCGACCATAATCAAAGAAAATAGACTTCGAATTAACAGACAATGTAGTACTTTATCTGCTCACTCACCGTTCACATTCACGCGCTCCAGTTCATCGTAGTTGGGTGGATACTCGATTTTCACCGAGGCGGCGCAGTGGAAGACCCCGTCCACCCCTTCAAAAATGGGACTGAGTGCCTCCCGATCGCCTCCGATATCAGCCACATAGGTGTGCAGCAAGGTGGTCTCCTCATGTCCAATGTTGTTCTTGTAGGGTACAATATCCAGTGAACGGATCTCTTTGATGCCCAGCTCCTCCTTCCGCTCCAGCAATTGCTTGATGAGGTGCTGACCCAGAAATCCACTGCCGCCGGTTACGAGCACCACTTCCCCGCTTTTGTTGCTCATTGCGTCCGGGGTTCAAAGTGCACTGCTTTTTGGTTTAACTGCAATGAGACCGACTGCAGGTTATTTGGACTGGCTTAAGTAGTTAAGTGGAGTTTCCGTGAGAGTGGCTTTTATGGTCGCCAGCCTCATAAACCCGGCCACTTGGATATCATACATAAACTGGCTCATCATCAGCCGGCGACCTTCTTCGAGGGTCAGCGGAGCAGGTTTCCAAGTGACTCGGCGCGTTTTCAAATGATCGGCTTACGTGACACTCTGGCTAGCTAATAAAGGTGGCTACTATATTTAAACGTATGTACTTATAATTCATACTTTTGTAATAAAAAATTTCTCTGATTACTAAAATTATTTGTCTTCATACTTTGTGTAAACTTCATATTTAAGTTTATAGGGAATACAAGCCTTGCTTTCACTCGAGTCAAATACCATTTATTTAAAAAGTTTTGGAAATATAAGACTGGAAGATTTTGATAATTTGGTTAAATTTCTTCAAAATGAAAGTATAAATAATAATAATAAATCATGACTTTATTTCAATTTGAACTAATGGAATTCATATTTTTAGAGAGAGTGTTACCTTCCTAATTAAATCAACCAAAATATGGGGAAATAAAAAGGTTTTGAAAGCTGACAAAGAGTTAACCAAAATGGTCAAAAGTGATGGAAAACTTGTTTTGGGCACACGGAAAAGTTAAGGAAATTCGAATGTTAATTAAAATCAAGATTTAAAGTCCATTGACATTTTCGCCTTATGACTTTCGATTTCTGTTTCCTCTTAGTGTGTTACTTGGCCACGGTCAAATTTTGTGTGATTTTATTAGACGCAGTTCAGCAGCTAAGGCCGTTATGCAGACTCAAGACAAAACAACAAAACAAAACACGAATGGTAACGGCAGCAACATCTGCAACAGCAACATCTACAGCAGCAACATCTACATATGTACATCAGCAACACCAGCAAGTCCAGCAGCAATCTCAACAATGAGAAACACGGCTAAATGTGATAATGCTGACGCTGGGCTGGCTTACAGATTACAACACAGCATCATAACAATTACCACGAACTGGTTTGCGCGTCAACTATTTCGACATGCACGTCAAACAGTCGAATTTGGCATTTTTGCCTGACCATTTTGGCCACTTAACGTAATTGCACTTATCCATCTAGAAGACCGAAAATCACACTATAAATCAGTAGGGAACCCCGCTTACCAGAAGGGAGCTCTTTTGTGTTGGCAAACCTTTGAGTTTGCCTGCTGACTTGAAACTGTTAGTTGGCCATAAACAAAACTGCCTAAGACCGAAACGAGCGTTGCCAAACCGCTCGCCTATCGCTATCGCTCCTATCGATCGCAGCAATCACGCTTGGCGCTAACAATCGAAAGCTTTTCAAAATTCATCAGGTTTTTGGTAAAAGGTAATTTTTATTCAACAACAATTAAATGAATGTGGACAGTAAGTACGCTTAGTGATTACATAAATAGTTGTCTTCTCTTCCCATGCATTTAGTGGGGTGCTTAGGCAATTGCAATATTCAATAAGTACAGTGGTAATTGTTTTCGTTGCATCTCTTTCATCAATAACTTTCTATATCTTTATAAACTCCCTGGTAGATGTATAAAGTAAAGGAGAAGTAAAGGCCGTCGATACAAATGACTTTGGATTAGATTAGGATTAGGCGCGCTTAACCATTAACCATTAACGAGTACGGGGAATATAATTACGGATATACAATTACGAATACGAATACAAAACGGTGTTTAGTACAATTAAAAATTCTGTTCACATTTCGGTTTGGTTTATTACAACAATATCATGTAAATGCCGATGTAGATGCCCCATCCGTATGTACTTAGGTATATGTGGGCATATTGGGGGTGTATATAAGTTGTAAGTACCGACTTTAAGTACCGACTAACGACAGCTGACTTGGTGGATTATATTGCATCTTCGCAAACATAAATAATGGGACATAGTATATTACATTAAATTACACGTACGAATAAACTATAATTATCTAGCAATTTCATTAAGTTACACATACAAAACACAATTGGTTTTCACAAACATTTTCCGTTCTCAATTCTCAGCCTAATGCTATTTAGGTGCATTTTGATGCATAATTGGAGTGACGTGAAGCGATGAACTCAGGTTCTACGTAATCGTAATTTAACATGAATGTTGATTGTGTACATTAAACTAGTTTTATGTATATAACTCTCTCTTTCTGTACTGTATATATCAGTATAGTGTAGTATAGTATTGTAAATAGTATATAGTATGCATGGGTATTATGGGTGTGCCTTTTTCCAGTAGCAACATTTCAACTAACATTATTTACTTCGCTATTACAAGTACGGTTCTTTATTAGCTATTATTGTTGTTATTGTTTCTGTCGCCGTTCCACAGTTGCTATCCATCAAGGTATTCCTTTCTCATTCCTATCCCGCTCCCCGTCTCAATAGGAAAGCGCTGAGGGCGATCGCGAGCCAACTGTGAAATCTTTGTACACCGAAAACACAGATATCTGCGGAAGAGCAAAAATATTGAATTAAAAATACACCCACAACTCATAAGAGGGCACATCCCGTCCCGCCATAGCTGGCATAGTTGTGCCAATCCCCATATTGGCCACTTTAATTGCCGACTCTTGCGTCACAGTCAAGAACTGCAGCGTGGCCCTGGCAGATAGCCAGCAACCAAATAAAAGTTGGCAGCATCTTGTGGGTGCGGAAAATGGGACAGCATCTGGCCTTTCGACACATGTGCTCCGGCGATGCGAATCGTTGTGATATCAGTTCAAGAGCAGACGCCTTATCAGTGCCGGCTAATTCCAAAAATAGGAACTCACTTTTGTGGGTGTGTTTTACGTATAATTTATCTAGGGGATGAATAGTAATTGCTGAACACTCTTGAGATATTTTGACTTATAATTTATAGACCAACTTTGATCTTCTCAAGAACCAACAGTCGAAAAATCTTTCTTATAACATTTTTCTGAGATATACCGAACGAAACAGTCATGATTTATGATGAATAAAAGTCATATTGACTTCGCTTATTATTATTATTAAGCTTACGACTTAAAATAAAAAAAAATGATTAGAAAAATAACTTCTTTTAATAAATACAATTTTTATTTTTTAATAGAATTATTTCAATAGCACTTTCTACAATTTCAAAACACGAAAATAGTTTCTGTGTAGGCATTTGTTGTTTCACTAGGAAATAATTGACTTTTTCTTTGTATACTTCTGACCCGCTGAGAACTAGTATTCTGATTTTTTTGAAAGAGGGGGGCAATAATGATATAACACCCATAATTTCTGTAGAAAAATGTATCATAGGGAGGTAGTACAGCGGACGATAAATTCTATTTTTGCATAACACTTTAGAATTAAAGAATTATATGCTATTCTATAGAAACTGATAATTTGTGTTCTTTACGTGCCTGGCCTTCTTTCTGACTTTCCCACTTTGTACTTCTTTGTGCAGTCATACAAAACGACCATTCTTTTTCCTGCTTCCGGTGCTACAACTGCAAACTCACCTTGTCTTTTAATTGCTGGCACAGTTTCTGGCCATTCATCAGCAGCAGTAGCACATCATTTAGCCACTGGACGGATGCCTCCGCCTGGCGGGAATCGAAGCGCATAGTGCCCTGATTGTTCAGCAGCTGGTAGACGGCAATGATTAGCTTGTGGCTCTGCAGGTAAAAGCTTACGGCCAAATCCTCGGGCAGATTGGGGACCAACGACTTCATATTGCGACCCTTGATCAGCTCATCAATAGGCTTTTTCTTGGGCACTAGCAGACTGTTTCTGCCACGCTGCAGGGCATCCAAAATGTTGCCTATCACATGCAGCACTTCATCGGAGGTTCTGTGGGGAGAACATGTGTATATTTATAACCTCGAATCACAATCTTATGCAAAACAAAACGTGACTCACTTGAAGTGATAAGAGTCGTCGACATCGTCTATGTGATTTATGGCGGTCTGCAGATGATTAGCCGCATCCTGGACCTGCTGCAGCTTCCAGGGCGAGTCATGTGTAATGGAGGTACGTTGTGTTTGGCTCGGGGCCTTACACAGCTTAAAGCTAATGTCCTGAAAAAGAAAGTTTAGAATTAGTATCAGATCGAGGGAAAATAATTCTGTAAATACATTTTTAGTAAGAGATAAGAAAAATATGTATGATCTTCACTTTACTTAAATCTATTTAATTAAAAACAAAATTAGGTAATAAAAATTGTAATACTCTTGTTAAAATAGTTTCAAGATTGGATATACAAGAAACAAATGTCAAAGATATTAAAAATTTCAAGCCATCGTAACTTTATAAAACTATATTTCCTAGCTGAATAATCTCTGTGAATTCTTAAATTCATTCACCCAATTTTAATCAATTCATTTTTGACTGAATCATTAGTGTGTAAGAACCCTAGAGTCTATTCGTGCAAATTGCGGTTTAGGAAATGGTACCTCTTAGGGTATTCCCCATCACTAGCGCGGAAGTTACCGTTTATCCGAAGACTGAATCATCTCTACTAACTAGATAATACCGCCTATTTTCTTTTAAAGAAATTAGTGGTTCCGGTTGGGGAACTAGTCGGTGTATTTCCCCACCACTTTGCGGGGGAGTTACTGTCACTTACAGCCTGCGTGATGGCATCGCCCGTTAGTGTTAGCACGGCCTTCAGCTGATCGGGCGACACGGTGAGTATGAACTTCTCAGTCTTCTTTCCCTCGTTCTCGTACAGGGGCACGGGAAACCGATGGGCACATTCCTAGGGATTACGATATAATCGTTACACAGATATGAGCACATTTGATCCGTTTTTATACTTACCACCAGAATGGTCCTTAGTTGCTTCAGTATCGCGTGTACTTCTTGCCTCAGCACCCACTCGAACTCAATTTGCTGTGCGAACGATGCGGGTTTTGCATATTATCATGTTCCAGAATTGTGTATTTTGTATTTCGGGGTCCCGCCAGCCACAGATTATATAGGTATGTCAGTCAGTGGGTTTGTATTTTTGCGATAGCGCCATCAAACAAAGCACGTTCCGTGTACAAATCAATAAAGTCGAGTGTGCGGGGGCGGCGGTAGAAAAGCAGGAAGAATAGAACATCAGCGACAATCGATAATCAATTAGTCAATATATAAAGTGAAGCCCAATTAATCGCTTTTTTGGCAACGGTTGTTATTGTTTTTGTTGCTGGTACGCCGTTGTCATGGATTCACATTCACATCGGTTTTAAACTATCAGAAAACTCACCAAATTGAGGGCTTCCTCACGCTCCGTGTCCGCGAGCATTTTCATCGCGCTTTTCGGCTTTTTCCGCGCTGGTAAAAATCTGCGCTTGTGTCCGCTTTCCGCTGAAGCAACGCCAGCAATTTGTATTGTGAGCGCTGTAATTTTTGTTTTTATTTCAGTTGTTGTTGTTTAATTAGGAGCAGTGTTGCCAAGTGTTAAAACAGGTTGCGAGCAGAACTAAATCTCTCAAAAATACCATTTTAATACTAAGCTTTAGACGGAGGCCGCGTAATTCAAAAAATTCAATTAAATCTGCATAGCTTTTATAACGATGTTAAAATATAATATTAATATTAATATAATGTTGAAGTCAACAACAAGTGAAGGGAAACAATATTTTCATCTTTTGGTCATGTAGTAACAAAAAATAATTTGACACTGGAGTAAAGATGAGAAGTTTTTACTTTTAGCGTCAAAGAATAAAAACTGTTTAATCCATTCCAATAAATATTTATGTGTTCTCATCCACTCTCTGTTATTTTCGATACGTAATGATAAATTCAATACTGATTTGTAGCATTAAATTACAGCCTAACAAGTTTGAAAATTTTAAAAATATTTTTAACTACTTAAATTTACAAATCAAAATATCTACCAAATCTAGTATTTAGTCTCGAGGCCTCACAACCCTGCTTGCGATACTGCTTAGCTCAGTGTTCGCTAACGCGAACGCATTACAGTATGCTGTTAAATAAGTTTTTTTTTTTATAACTAAACATTGAATAGTAGATAACAACTATTTAAAAATTAAAAAAGATAACTAAAAGTTGAATATATACAATAAATAATTCCATTTATCTTTTAAGCCCCAAATTATCATAAATAGCTATCTGCGTAACATCCCCTGTAACTGCTTAAAACACTGCTTGATTTGGCGCCAAATTTAAATTGAATTGAAACAAGTACGCTACTTACGTTTTCGTGTGGGCGGGGGTGTAGTAAGCATGGTTGTTT